GGGGGAGGGGGGAGGGGGGAGGGCCGGAAAGAGCGCAGCTGCTGGAATTTCGTGGACCGCGACGCCCGGGAGGAGCCTTGAGCCACGCGACGGGATTGCGGCGTGGAGAACGGCTTTCCAGGCTCTTCCCTTCCGGGGAGCCTAACGGGCGTGGGGAGCAGCGCGAGGAGGCTGCGGCGGGTTGCTCGTAATGGAAGGGAAATTGGGGGAAAACCCCCACCAGGCTCCAACAGAAGACTGGACAGAGGACCTGAACGACAGAAAAAACAAACAAGTACGCACGAGAAAAACGTTCACCTCAGTAGTGGACACAGGTAAATAAAGGGACCCCCCCAAACCCCTGTCCCCTGTTAGATGTGTTGGCTTTTTAGCCAAGGGCCTTTTCTCTTGTCTGCCATATAATAGTTGCAAATTGAGAACTGACGGCGGCGTTCTGTCTCCATAACAACGAAATGATGGTGGGTAACCATTTAAAATCGCGTTGTAGTAGGGACAAAACATGCCCACCATAATGGGGAAAACATCATTAAAATTTAAGATGGTATTCTGCATCTTTGGATGTATTACTATTTTCTGTGATTTTATTTTCTGCTTTTCTATAAACCTCCCTCTTTAAAAAATGTATCTTAAACATGCATTTTTGGTCATCAGAAGAGGAAAATGAATTGAGGGAGGGTGAAGGCTTTTCTGAAATTTGGCAAAAATGGAGTTTTCATTTAATCTCCTGCACAAGAGCATCTCGTTGAAAGTTATCTAAGAGCAAGCGCGTTAAGGATTTTGTGAGCCTCTTCATATTGAGATGATTTTACGAAAACTAGAGTTAGAGAAAGGATAGTCACACAAAGAAAGGACACAGGACGCATTTTCAAAGTTAAAACTGGCTGTATAGTATGTGTCCCAACCTCCTGCGATTGTACAAGGAGTGAAATCTGAGTTTTTGATGGTCTTGAGTTTTCCTAACTAGAAATCTTAGGCCCCAAAATAAGATTAATAGAAAAGCTAAAGAAACATGAGTTAAGTTAACATATATTTCTTTGACCATCATACAGCTTGAAATTGTGCAAAAAATAGAGGATCATGAGCTTTTATTACAGTTTTTTGTTTGTCTCCCAAAGTGACCACCCCAGGAACATCACAGAAGCAAGTATTTCTTTGAAAAGAGTCTAGAGCTGTCCTCAAAACAAGTTTTGAAGAAAAGTGTTTCTAAATTTGGATATGTAATAGACTACACTGATTTTGAACATTTATAGAAATATGGTGAGGGGTCTTCAAAAAATTTATGAAAAGATTTGTATTATCTTTTAATTCTACTTTTCCACAGACTTTTTGAAGTACTCTTGTATATGGACACATGGTCATCCTTAACCCATGCAAAAAATGTTCGAATAATAACAAAGTAGGCAACTGAAGTTTTTTGAATGTCTTTTTTTTTTTTTTAAATAGCGTACGGCCTAAAATTTCTTTTCTGTAAATAATACATACTCATTGGGTTGGCCAGTTAGCTGAGCTGGATGAGGCACAGTGTTGAAGCACCAAGGTCAAAGGTTTGGATTCCCATACCAGCCAGCTGGCAAAAAAAAAAAAACTTATGGTAAATAAACTCATGGATAATCATTGTTAGTATTGTAGCACCTTTTTAAAGATTACACTGTGTACTTACATATTGATGTGATTCTGTGTCCATCTTTATTGTTACTTAATACATGTTTTCAAAAGTATTTGTTATGAGAAAATAGTATGTAATATGGAGTAAAAATTAAAAGATACAACACATTTGTATTACAATCCTGTTTCCTTTTTATACATGTGCTTTACCCACATGTAGTATATAAATAAGGAAAATAAGAAAAACGAAAAAATACAAAGAATTCTCTATGTTATGTATGTATATTTTACTCCCTCGGCCACGTATGTGAACAGAGTTGAGCCGTTTGGATGTACTATGAGATGAAAATGCCACTGGAGTTAGACTTCAAGAATCTGGGTTTGAGTTGGCCACAGTGTGACCTTGAGCAAGCTACTTAACTTCTCAGACTCAGTTTCCAAATCTAAAAGAGGATTAATTATTCCGACTTCACAGTGTGTCGTGAGAATTAGATGAACTTAGAAATGTGAAAATGTTTCGCACCTGGCACACAGTAGGCCCTCTAGTATTATTTCCTGAATTCCTTCTGTCTGAAATTCAGGGTTTTCTCCACTAGATGGTGATGGTAGATAAATAAGTGAATAAACCATGCCAGTGATGACCTTTCAAAAATCACCCCTCCTCTTATTTTGCTTTGCCAACCAAATTTAAACTTTCTTTTTGAATCAGTTGTAAATACAAATAAATTTAAACTCTATTACAAGGTTACAGGAGATGAAATTAATGTAAACAAAAATTTAGACTTAAGTTTTCTCACTGCTAATTGTTTTCAACTGGCCTTGGTGGTTTACTTTGATCTGTGTAACCATCTTCTTCTCTATCCTCCTTTCTCAGAGTCAGAATGTGGATGACAGATTTAGTGGTGACTCAAATAGACTTCTTGTTCAGTGACTACAGCCAGAGTCTCAGCATGGCTGCAGTGCCCAAGCACAGGTGTACCATAAGCCTTCTAGTATTATCAAATCTGTGGGCATCATCTTGCACCCTCATATTCATACCCAAGGTGTGCTGGACACTTGAATCCAGTTGATCCCACATGACGCTCACCCCTGCCGTCTTTAGTCACCATTCTGAAAGTTAGCCCTGGAGTCATCTGGTTCCTCTCCCCAAACCCAACCTCATGCTCCTTTTTTTCCCTGACTTTCTCCTGCAGCCTCTGGAACTTATGCCACATTTCTCACTAAGTTTACACTAATATATTTTATACATTTTCTTGCTATTATAAGTAGGACCTTTTAATTGCTCTGTTTGTTTACTGGTTTCTTTTAGTATAAAAGAAGTGCCTTGATTTTTATTAGTTTCTTTCATGTTTGGCCTTTTTGTGAACTCTTTATTAGTTTTAAGTGATTTTCTATTGATACTTATAGTATAATAAAGAATATATCTGATCTTTGTCCCTGGGTTCTGGCATAGATTTTCAGAATCCCTTGGGATTTCCTGAGTGATCAGAGTCCTTTTTTATGCTAATGAGGTGACTCCTGTTGGGCCCCTAGGGTTGGAGCTTGGAGCCAGCCAAATCTCTAGGGAGCAGTTGGGGACTGGAACTTAAGTTCAGTCGTGTATCCAGTGACTTAATTAATCATGTCTACATAATGAAAGCCTAATAAGAGCTTCCTGGTTGTAAACTCACTGATGGGCTGGGAGGGTGGTGTGCCTGGATTCCAAGAGGAGAGAGCATGGATGCTCTGTGTCTGGCAGCCTCCGAGGCCTCACCCTGTGTGTCTCCTTTATAATAAAACTTTAGTTAAGTGTAGTGCTTTCAGTGAGTTCTGAGAGTTCTCATGAATTAGCCTGAAGGGTCTTGGGAACCTCTGAATTGTAGCTTTTTGGTCAGAAGTGTGGCTGGTTCCTGAGAGTTGTGGCTGGTATCTGTAGTGGGGGCTATCCTGTGGAGGACTTTGCCTTTAGCCAGTGGGGTCTGGCATTAACTCTGGGTAATTTAATGTCAGAATTGCATTATAAGACACCCAGTGGTGTCCGAATAATACTTTTACCTTTTCCATTCAAATACTAGGTATTGTTCAATTATTGGATAAAGCAGGTCTCTTTATCTTATAAAGAGTAATGTGAAGTGACATTTGACAAAATTGTACTTCGATCACTGATTTTAAAAAACCTCTAGTAAAATAGAAAAAAAATCTCCTTAACACAGTTTTATTTTTTGCATCAAACCAGCAGCCATCACTATGTTTAATAGTGGAAAACACTAAAGATAGTTTTCATAAACTCTTGACCTTTGCATCATCACTGCATGCCATGCATCTCACCATGAGGACCTTCCCAGACCCCCCCAGTGTCTGGGATACTATTTACCTTTCAGCCTAGAGATGTCCTTGTTAGCCTTCCCTGACCATCCAGACTGGTTTGGGGTGTCCTTAGCCATATGCTTATTTGACACCCTGTGCTGTGGATTGATTGAATTGTGTCCCCAAAGTTCATATATTAGAAGCTTAATTCCCACTGTAACTGTTGAGGGTGGGAAATCCTATTATGGTAATTGAAAGTTGGGGCCTTGAAGAGGTGATTAGATTGTAAGACCATGCCATAGTGAACGGATTAAGAATGGTGGTCATGCCCATGGTTCTGAGGGCTTTAAAAAAATAGTACATGAGAGGTTAGTCTCTCTTTGCTCCTCCATTTTCTGCCATGTGAGACACCTGGGTCACTGTTGCCACCACCAAGACCCTCACAACCAGATGGGTTTCCTGGACTTTGGACTTCCTAGCCTCTGAAACTGTAAACAATAAATTTTGTTTTCTTACAAATTACTCAGTTCCATGTGTTTTGTTATAAGCAGCAGAAAGGGATTAATACACCTTGTCTACCCCTTGTAACTGTTACCTTGCTGTATCATAGTTGCTAGTTTCCATGTCTGTTTCCACTCCTCCTGCCAACCTCCATCAGAGGATAGAGATTTTCACCTTGCACCCTCAGTGCCAGGCACTTTGCCTGACATGTAGTGGACACTTGGATGTGCTTTAATAGAATCAGTGAGTGAAACAACCAGACATGCTTAAAATGTAGGCTTAATTCATTTCTCCTAAGGCTTATGTTTGGAGCATTCTGTTTCTTCTGGGGAAACCACCTAAATGGGGCTTTTAGTTATGAAAAATTTAGATGAAAACTTTCTGTTGATTCAGAGATATTTTGAGAACCTTTCCAAAAAGAAAAAAAGAGAGCATTTTGGAACTGAGAATAAAATTGTTATGTAGTGCCGGAGACCAGCTCCAGTCGAGTTGGGGGTCCTTGAAAGAGGGATGAGGAGATGGCGAAAATAAAAAACACAGGCAGAGACCTCGGTTCCTCTGAAGCACGTTCTCAGCCTGCAGGCTGTCAGTGCTGTCGCAGCCAGAGCAGCTAAAGCAGCTGAAGCAGCCTTCA